AACTGAAGAATTTTACCTATAGATACTAAAAAGTTACCACAAAAAGAAGGTGCAGAATATTCTTCTGGTATTAAAAATTGTTGTCCAGAGTGATAAAATTACTTTAGGAGTTCAAAAATTATAGAAAAAGGAATATTCCATCCTTCAAGAAGATTCTCACAAAAGTTTAATGGTCCAGTCATCACCAATCCTTACATCAGGCTTGCGAATAGTCGGGACCGACAGGCCTCTTCCTCCCCGAAGCAGGAGTGGGCCCATCTCAATCTCTACCTTCTGATTGGCCGGTTCAATAACGGCATTTTTAGGTGCATTGGATAAGCCCAACAGTATTATTCTCTCCACGGTGGACTCCGTTTCAAATTTGCGGTCGCCAGCTGTCGTATCGTCGGGCCTCATATTCGAAGAAGTGAGCTTTCCGTTTGAGAATGTGAAGCGGCGGTGTATGTACGCGCCTTTCTGGAATTCGAAGCTTTTACCGTCGTCTATGTATAGCTCTCCTTCTGCTGACATGGACTGATTTAGAGCTATAACCTGGCAAGGGCGAAAATGTCCAATTTAGTATCGGTAACATTTTGAAATGGTACGGAAATCGAGAGGCGGAGAAATTAGGATCGGGTTGGAATCAACACTTCAAGAAAATTTCTATTTATTTTCGGAAGTGAGAAACGAATTCCAGAACCGTTCTAAGAAGATTTGGAAAAATCGGAAATTGGAATGAAAAACAAATGTTCCAAAATCGATGTTTTTGTGGATTGAATCTTTGAATTCGGAAATTCCAATTTTTTTATCACCTATAATACGAAATACATAATAATATTGATATTATAGGTAGTTTTCAGAAATATTTACTGAAATTAAAATCGGATCGCAAATTAGAATCTAACCGTTCCGAAAACATCGGAAATCCGGACTTTCAGAATGAAAAATAATGTTCCAAAATCAGAAATTTTCGAATCGAAATCGGCGGAATTCGGAATTTTCATTCCAATTTCTACCCTTACTGACACTAAGTCTACAAACTGCAGAATGTTTTACAGAAATTTAACTGGTTGTGTGTGGGGTCCACACACACACACGCGCACACACACATATATATATATATATATATATATATATATATATATATATATATATATATATATATAGAGAGAGAGAGAGAGAGAGAGAGAGGGAGAGAGAGATACCAGAGTGTAAGGATCATTTGCCATTTGAGTAGAGCTACGTCGAAATCTGTCCTTTCTTGGTAATATGGTACCACCCCGTATGAAAGAAGGCACACTGTCTTCCAAAACATCGAGCTTATACGTTTCTCCACCCTTGTAAGAATTCCCGTTTTTAAAGTCGTACCAAGGCTGATACCCAGGTAGATACACCTCAGCGTGTTTAGCTCCCTGTAGCAATTTTTTGTTTTAAATAATCAATTAACTTAAAGAGATAATATACCAAAAAAAGATTTGAAATTTGTTGAAGTTTATTATAAGAAAGAGAGATTACGAAAGGGGAAAAACGAGAGACCTGGGTGTATATTCCTTGTACCAAAAGACTGTTTCCGACCATAAACGCCTCGTCGTTGCTAAATGTCTTCTCGTCGGACGGAAATTCCATCCAGAGGTTTCCTCGAGTCTTAGCAGGTGGCTTAGGGTCCTTGT